CCCCCCCCCCACCTTTTTTTTCTTTTGAATTAAGTACCATTAAGCAATAACTATTAGCTATAATTGTATTGATATTAGACTTCAAAAAGAAAGTACCTCTTTTTATAAGAAATAAATTCCTATTAGCGGGGCATGTACTATCTTTATCAACTTAGTTTGTCCAGTAGTCGTATACTTAGTAGTTAGTGAGGTGGTGGGATTGGAAAGAATGAAGCAAAACATTTAGTCAAGATCGCCACCAAGGCTTTAGTCTAGTGGTTAGAACGCAACACATGATATGTGGGTTGGACACACGTCACGAGTTTGAAACATGTCAAAGATAAAGGTTTTGTATTTAAGTGGAGAATGGTAGAGGGGCAGCCACTGAGTTTTAACAGGCTGTCACTAGTCCTCGGAGATTTCTCGATCATAAAAATACAGTTAGGACTCGGGATTAATGTGCTAGTTATTTTTATTATACTTATGTCTGTTGTTTGTCAAGAGCCTTTTGAGTCTGGTTAGAGCTTGGATGCTAGTGTAAGAATAACGTGAGATTTAGAGAATGTTTAAGTTGCCTTTGGCGAGAGATTATTTATAAGCAAAAAGTGTTTTGGACCCGAATAGAGCAGAATGTGTGCAGATGATTCATGTAGCTGAGTCCAGCTTAGTTTAAGATTGAGACACTTGGTGGTTATTGCCTTTATTCGCAAAGATACGAAGTTATAGTCCTGTTGAAGAAATTGTCAATTTTAAAAAAGAAAGCATGAAATCTTAAAATGATCTGATTGTATCCAATCAAATGCAGTCTTATTAAATGAAATGGAGAGAGTACGTTTTCTTACTACTATTTGATGAAAAAATGGAAAATATAAAAGGAAAAAGGGAAGAAATGTATCTCCAACGGTGCTTGTTTTTCTAATTATGAAGCATGGCTAAGTGACCCAATTGATAATAAGCCTCCAGTTTATGGTTTCGGTTCACCTGAATTAAGATCAAAAGAAATTCTCCATTGATAACAAATGGTTATCCATTAACCGCAGGAAATCTTATTTAAAAACCATAAGCCATAAAGATTATGCTTGTCAGGCAGTTCATCTATTAAGATGGGAAAATCCTTTCTTCTTTCTGGATTCTCTTGTTAAGACTATCATACACTTTGTAAAATGAGCTATTAAGAAATCTCCCTAATTTTTAAATGCATGAATTATTCTGACTGACATATTTAACCAGTTTTCCTCATCAAAGACCTGCAGATTTAAGCCCAGCCAACGGAGCTCATTTACCTCAAACATACACAAAAGTTCCTGCATAATTGCAGAAATGGACCCTTCCATGATGAAGCTCCTTGAGGAAGATGAGGTCCTCTTTTCCTTCCATATCCTATATTTAGCTTATCCCTGTAGTACTCAACTCGTCAAAAGAGTTGCGCATTAAAAATTCCAATTTCTGGATCTTCTTTCTTCCTTTTTATTATAATTGCCGGGGAGCAGATTCATACTGAATAATGTCCGCAGGATGAGTCAATGCATTCGGAGGCAGATTTGGAGGCGTTCACTGCTGCCTTAAATAAGAATATTAAAGGAGACAGTTCAACATCTCAGCCATCAGATTCTGGTAGAGGTATCATATATCATTTGGCTTTTCTTTGCACAATGTTGTATTAATCTTTCTTAAATTTACCAATATGGTTTATATAATTTACGGTGTATTTTTAATTCGATAGAGTTTTTTATGAAGATTGGATCAACATTCGCGAATCCGAGCGATAGATTACCTCTAGCAGATATAGACTTGTATAAAAATTATTTTAGGAGGATTCTGTTCTCAAAGATTGGGATATATCGGCTTGTGTTTGGGAGTGGAA